GCGGAAAGAGGTGTTCTCCAAATCAAAGGATTGAACATAAGGCGGAAAGGAGCGAGGAGTTGCACTCCGGTGAGAGGACTGCAAAGAACAGAACAGCGCTGCACTTACTACGGAATCTCGAAATCAAACTCGCGCGGCTGAGCTTCTATTCGGTTATAGCTTCTACGGCGTAAAACTTTTCCCTTCTGGCAGTTTTTACAGGTGCAATTGTTATCTGAGAAATAAGGAGATCTTGTCAAACTACCTTTCGAGAATATTATTGAGAAAAATAGAACCTCGGTAGAACGTTGTTTTACGTGCCAAACGTCACTATAATTTGTACATTTCACCTTTCATACTGCACGCGCACATCAAAATTTCATCAAAAATAGAAGGAAATGAAAAAGCCGACGCAACAGCAAAAGAAGCCACAGTTGCTTCACTTATTAATAATCGCAATCATCTTCCAATCCCCTGCGACGACCAAATAATCCACTGCAAAAAAGTTGCAAAAAAATGAATGGAATAATACATGGAAAACAACCAAAAGCAGCCAACTACACAAAAGTATCCAAGACTTTCACCAGCAAACACCAAATCTTACCAACAGGAAAGAAGGAATAATTATCTCACGCCTAAGAACCGGTCATACCAAGCTGACACATGAACACAAAATCAAAAATATTTCGCCACCCACCTGCACTCATTGCAATAACCATCCACTAACAATAACCCACATACTGCACGAATGCCATACCACAGAAATCCGAAAGACAGAAATACGGAATCAACGCAAATATAAACCTGACTTCTCAAAATGACATACAAAGAATACTAAAATACCTCAAAAACATAAACTACTACTACACTCATATCTAATGGCACCGTCGTCGCTAATGACCTCGCTGTCGATGCGACATTAAAGAATAAATAGAAGAAGATAGAAGAAGAAAATTTCCCACGAATGCAAACTTACATCTCTGTTACGTTATTCGATGTAATTTCATTTCCGGAAACAATTGTTATTTATGTAAAATGACCAGCTCGAGAGATAGAAATTTATTAAAATTTGGATGATTTGTGAAAGGGTCAGTGCGAAAGCAACTGCGACGACGTGCATTAATTTCTGGTGGAAATCTCCGTGAAAGCGAGAAAGTCGATCGAACGGCCTTTCCCCCGGCGTCTTTTTAAATCAGAGACCCGATTGTTGACCGATCCGTCGAAGCGGATAAAGATAAGGAGCAGGCGATTCAGTCCGGATTCCGTGTTGCGGACGTTCCGCCGTTCCGAATCGATTTCACTTGTTTTTCTCGCTCGTGCCTGTCCGTATTACCTCATAAATTACCGTCATAAAGTGCTATAAAGTGAAATCTTGACCTGATATCGCGAACGAATTGTCGCAAGCCGCGTTACGCGTCGAATTTTTGCCGAAACCTTGCAAAATTTCTTCGAGCCTGTGAGAAACAAAAATATACGATTATAAAACTACTTTCTATATTTAATTACAAGAGGTTATTACAAGAGCAACAAGCGTAATTAATTTCTGTTGTATTTGCGTGTCGCATTTTGAGAGAACAGCATACATAGATTATTAACATGTCGAAAATTCATCGAAAATTAATTGTTTCTTTTTATGGCAAAAGCTTCGATTATTATGGCCGATAATATTCGAAGTTTTCACAATGAACGATGGAAATCTATTCAAGGAGAAAAAATATTATGCCCTTTCCCAAGAGAACAAAATATTACGTCCCTTCGTGCGAGTCATCGATTTATTTCATTTAAAGATAAATCGCCGCGTGTATTCTAAAAAATATAATAGTCGTCGATCGGCACTGGCTAAACTGGTTTCATCTCGCTGATTTACGGTTGCAGGGAACGTATGCACGGTGGAAAAACGATTTCGTAATTCACCGCCATCGCCATGGCACCACCGGCAACGCGCGCGGTTCATTGATCCGAGGAGTTACATGTTTTGAAATTTGTACAAGCACTGGATAAATAATACTAAGCGCGTGCAGAGGAGATTTAATTAATTTTCATAGTTCCTGCAGCATGCACGGCAATAACGGAGAACTCGATTCGGCCGTGCTGTACGCAGAACATACACCGGTGGTCGCATTTATCCATGTGAAACGCAATATTGATTCGACGCTGCAAACTGCAATTGTTTGCTTGATATTGTGCCATTCCCAAGCGCCATTCTTTTTTTGTCCACGCGTTCGTGTTGCACCAATTCCAAACACGATAATGATTGTTTTTTTCCCTTCCTTTTTTTTTCTATTATACGCCGATACGCAAGAGCCGTATAAATTTTCGACTGAACAATAATTTTGCATGCCGTGTAAATTGTCAAGTGACGCTGGTGCTATCGTTTTTTTTTTTTCTAAATATTCGATATTGTTATCTCTTTGGTCGTACGTACGTAGCAAATTGTTAATGTTAATATTGTTCATTTTAAACGTTCATCGACCGTGGAACGAGATATTTTTATTAATTCGTTCTTTATTGATCAAACATTCAGAACGTGCGGAAGAAGTTTGAGCAAATTTTCACTAGGAGTCCAAGAAGCGTCGAACATGAAAGACGTGTCGCGTAAGCTTCACGAAATTTACTACTCGATCGACCAATTTGTCGTAATTAACAAATATGTACAATACTAATTAAAATGATTCACGACCGTCTGAATCTGATTTGAAACTACAAACGATTATTGATGATGTGCTACTACGACTCATTGGATATGCACGATGTTTGCGTGACATTTATCGCTGAGTGACAAAATAGATCGTAAATTGAAACACGCAGAGCAAACGACGACAATCAGTTGTTAACGTTAAATTGATATTCATTGTTAATACACGATGAAACAAAAAGAGTGATTTTGTTCAGTGAGAAATATTTGAAAATTAGGGGACAATGTTGAAGTAGAAACGAACGTTGTGATATTTTATTTGATACGTAAATTGTGTCGTCGAGATCATGTTGCGAACCATTTGGATCTCAGAGAAATTATTCTAGAGATGGCAGATATCGCACGATTACAGACTGAGACGATATCGTCTGAGACTTACGGTCGTTTGAAGATCACGCGGTTGTATAATTGTCGATCAAATCAATTCGTTCGAAAATTAGTAGGGATTGATTGAGTGTTGGTTAAGTGATTTATGGTCATTGGCACATACAGCGGCGTGTTAAATTATGCGTGATCAATTTTCTGCTAGAACGAGCGTGATCAATGCACAGATCTCATATTTTATGATCAACCGAGTACCTTTATTTTCGACGTACGTGCAATCGTCACTCGGTGGACAGGCATTAAAAAAAAACAACTAAAGACACTGAAAATTTATACTTCCAATTCTCTATCAAATATCATCGCATGCCAAACAACGAAGTGAAATCTGATTTCTTCGAATATTCGTATTGTCGTCCCTTCGTTTTCACGTTGAGCACGTGCTTGATCATTGCGCGTAATGATAATTATTATCGGAAGTCGTCGCTCTGTTATTCGAGGAACGCTCGATGGATCTGGATTTCTTCTCGGGCTTAATCGAAATACATTGAGCGACGGTGATCGGAATTATTCCCTCTTGAATTCACGGAATTACATATTGATTTTTCAAGTGCCGCTCGCGCTGTGTATCGCGCTCATTTCTTCATGGCACATCGATCCCACTGATTCGTTTGCGAGACCGAAAAAACCGCTGAATTCGCGATATCGCGAGAGCCTCGCTGTCCACGAGAATTCGAAGCGCGACAATTTGAATAGTTTGCTAACGATATGAATTTTCACTCTTGGGATTTAATTTAATTGGTAACCAGCGGCTTTAATCATTTGAATTGCACTTTCGTCGTTCGTTCGCCTGAAACGTGAACGTGAATCGAGGAAAGCATTGCAAGCGTGTTATAAAACTCTAGATTTGAGAACTATGGTCCGATCAATGAATGGAAATTCGGTTTCGGCTGGCAATAAATTTGCGTAATGCGGACATGTAGCCTAACATGGGCAATTACGACTCTGTTTCCAAAGAGAAAGTGCATTACTGCATCCTCCGGTCACTATACCGTGTAAGCACAAACACCAACCACTGCGCAAACAATGAAACATCGCTGTTGTTATTTCACTATACATTCGCCCCCCGAAGAAGGGTGGCGAATTGAACGAAATTGCATTGTTAAATCACCCAAGTTCCCGTCTTTTTTTGTTCCCTGCATAAACCAGATATAGACTACAATTCTCTTCCACTTTGCAGTAAATTTTTTTTTTATGTATATATGTGTGTGTGTGTATTTCACCTCGGTCTACTCGCTCTTACTCGTTTCTTGCCCGACGGAACTGGGCGAATGCATTTTCTCAGTCATGGGCAGTTAATGGCTGAACTGCGGCCACCGTGCTGGATGGCATCCCGCAGATTTACGGGGCGACAGCTCTTACAGACGGCGTTTCGCGATTCCCAGTTTTTCCCCCTCCTCCGTAACATCCGGACGATTTCACGGATTTCGAAATCAACGGTCTCGATCCCAAATTGACAGCCGTTCGACCGATGTCAAAAAGCACGATATGATGCCGCCTGCCACCTAAAAGCTGCGAGATGTAATTGCCGTTTTCCTAATGGCCGATCATCCGCGTACGTGTTTTCCGCCATTCCTAAATTCACTGCCTTCTCGTGTGATTTTTTTTTCCATATCGAAAGCTCGCAATCTCATACAGGAAATGCTTTGTAACGTTGTTCTGAAATTACATTTGGGTTTGCACGCTATATATCAAAAGTGTACGAACACTTGCTCATTAGAAAATCGTCAAATAATGATGGATTCCATACTTTGTAAGCACGGTGTGCTTCTGATTTTATCGTTGGTTCACTTCAAAGTCAAATCTCGATATCTTTGATGTAAATGAAAGTGATCGAATATATTTATAAATGTGACAGTACACGTAGAAGCACATTCTCTCCCAGAAATTAATTGCAATTAGTCGAAAACGAGCGATATTAACAATTATGTGTTTCCTGTTACAGCCAACCATTTTCGGCACAGTGGCCTCGGACCTGAACCCAAAGGATGGCAACAGTCGAAGGGTGAGCGTTGAAAAACGATTAAATTTCACATGTCGATGGTAATTAATTCTTTGACGCAGGCTGTGCATTATTGCAAATTAAACATTTCGCTAATTAAATTTTCGCTCGGTGTTAAATTGTTTCAAATTGCCGGCAATTGCTGAAAATGGTAAATATCGATTGATTTTCTGTTCCAACGTGATAAAAAACGCGAATGTTGCACATTTCTTTCGTCGGAATGTTGTTATATTGTCTTGGACGTTGACGTCAAAGTAATTAATTGTCGTCGAACGGTAATCGGTAATTAATTAATAAATAATCGAATGATAGTAGCTAGCTGCGTTTCGCGTGCTTCTGTATTTACCTCGTATGTATTTGTTCAATTAACAAACAGGATACGAGAGAGGGAGGCAGTTGATTTTGAATATTAAAAAATTTTATTACATTTACAAAATTATCGTCCATCGAGTGAAAATCATGGAGGATAATTTTTAAACAATTCCTAAAGTACATTTTGCATCGTCGTCTCCGCGACTGACACTTTGCTCTCCCATTAACAAACAATTCGATCGGGGGAAATGATTCTGCTCCCCTTAGAAAGAAAATCCACGATTCCACGATAATAGCGAGAATAATTGCGAATCGAATATTCGAGTAATTACTGGGACGGAGAGAGCAAGAGGTGTTCTGAGAATGGTACGAAAGGTAAAGCAGGCAAGAAGGTCTCTGTGTAAGAAGATCTTCGTCTTATTCTTCATGAAACGGGTCTCGCGAGACTCTTGCTTCGCTCTTAATGGGTAAAAATTGCTGCTAAGTCGCTGTTCTGCTTCTCTCTCTCTCTCTCTCTCTCTCTCTTTCTCTATCTTTCTCTTTAAATGCTCCAAGATAGAGAACGTTCTAGCGCTCTAATTAAAAGTAACTGCCGCGCCAACCGAGTCATTCAGCTCTGAAACCCTTTCTGCGGCGTCTTTAACGCACAAAGTCGTTCTACGCCTTGCATAAATTTTTCGTAATTGCGAAATCATGCAGAGTACCACGAGTCCATGGTTCAAACGTATCCAGAAAAGTTGCTCTACGTACTGTGAGAAATTTTGATATTTTTTTAATCTCTTTTTTTTTTTGCCTTGATAGAGAAGAATCAAGCATTGCAATATTAATTAATTAGTCGAATTTTATATAACTCTGACCATTTGATTGTCAGTGACAGTTTTTTCTGATCAAAGTTCATAGTGAGAAATTCGAAATTCGATCGTTCAAGTTTACTTTCAAAGTTCCATTTCGAATAAATTATTCAAGATTTTCCATTCAACTTTGCATTCTGCCGAAATTTCTTCATTTTTCTGCAACTCCTCCTCTTCGCATTAAGAAATCATGCAGAGTATCACGTGTCCATGGTTCAAACATATCCAGAAAAGTTGCTCTACGTACTGTGAGAAATTTTGATATTTTTTTACCTCTTTTCTTTTTGCCTTGATAGAGAAGAATCAAGCATTGCAATATTAATTCCCAGTCGAATTTTATAACTCTGACCATTTGATTGTCAGTGACAGTTTTCTCTGATCAAAGTTGATAGTGAGAAATTCGAAATTCGATCGTTCAAGTTTACTTTCAAAGTTTCTATTTCGAATGAATTATTCAAGATTTTTCATTCAACTTTGTCGAAATTTCTTCATTTTTCTGCAACTCCTCCTCTTCGCATTGCGATTTATCCGCGTGCAGGGATAAACATTGCGGGAGTTGTCGGTTACGCGAGGCGAAAACTAATCCAACGAAAACAGGGTTTGTTATTTCGCGAAGTCGCCACTCCGGTTTTGTTACACCGTGATTCTAAATTTCGTTGTTTCCCTTTGTAATTGGTAAACCTTAAAAATACTCGAGTCGTTCGATCGCCGCGAACTTCACGATTTGCCGATTCCCGAATAAATATTTTCGTTTCGCCGTTACCGTGCTCGTTTTGCTCGTCGGATGCACACATGGCCCTGAGAGCCGTACCTTCGCATTCATGTTTGTTCAAACGCAATGGAATTCTTCGTTTGACGAAGATTTTCCTTCGAATCGCGAGCCAAGAGATTTATCGAAACAATCTGCAAAGCAAGTAATTGGAAAACATTGCCGTGTAAGTAAATTTCTCTCGCGTTGCGTGTGAATTGTAAAAAAATTGTTAACCATTAATCGCGCGACGTAAAAAGCAAGCCAAAAGTTGTCGTGAAAAATTTCTCGTCGCCGCGACGAAAGTTAAAAAACGGAAGATAAAAAAGTGAAATGTGTATCTCTTACGCCCCAAGGACAATTAACTCGCGGAAAGTGAACGGCGGAAAGGAAAGAAACTGTTGCAACTCGGGAGCAAGATGGTTCAGAAATCTGGAAATTCCTGGCTGAATAAAACATTCACGGCGTCGATCCCCTTCCCCATCGGAAGTCGAGTTTCGCGTTACCTCCGGTGCGCGGGTATCATTAAACAACCAATGCAGCGATGGAAATTCCCGCCAGTAAGCGTTCCACGACGCGGCGCGTCGCGATAAAAGTTCAGCCGATCGGATAAATTCATGAATGTTAGATGCCTGTTGGCTCGAGAGGAACGCGCGCGCCAGGATCCCTGAAACGTATCACAATTCCTGTAGCACCGACAGAGGGGCCCCCCGGCTCCCAATCGATCCCGATGAATATTTAATTCACGATCCTCGATAAACGGGCGCGCCCGGTAGCGTCGCGGAGAAAAGCGCGAGGTTTTTTTGCCCCTCCGTCTAAATGCAGGGATATTCCTCGAGCGCTGATCCCAAGCGCTCGACTTAGCTTTCAGTGAAGATCTCGATGAATAATCGCGAGAAGAATTCAATCTCTTTCCCGAGCGACAGTCCGCTCGGTTGATTAATAATCGGAATGGTTATACTACACTGCTTTCAGATTTACTTGCCTTCTTTTTTCTTTTCGTTTTTTTTTTCTTTCTTTTTTACTTTGTGTTTGTATGCGGAGTATTATTCCTCTCGATTATTCGCTCTCCTTCAGTTCGGAATTAATGGGTGTATTCTGGTGTATTTGATTGATTATTTGTTTAAGCTCGATTTTCTCGAAGACAAAGCCTCAAACCTTTCATTAAGTAAGTAAAGCGGGTAATCGCATATTAAGAATGCACTATATTCTTTTCTGTTCGACAATGGAATATTTATAAGATAAGAAATTTTTGTAATGGAAATATCTTTCTTGATCTATTCAGATTCGAAAATGACTGGCTATAGGTACAACTCTTGGGTTAATCTTTTAAAAATTTGGGATTTTCGTTCGAAAAATTGAAGTTTATTTGGAAAAAGAAAACATTCAAGGCCCTGGCTATAATTTTATCAGGAAAGATTTGACAGTGGAATATTTATGCGATATTATCGTACCAAAATATTTTTTTTAATCTATTGCAATTTGTAAAAGACCGGCTTTAGGTGTTAATCTTTTAAAAATTTGAGAGGTTCGTTTGAAAAAAAAAAAAAAAAATACATTCCAGACCCTAGCAAACCAAAAGATGTTATCAGGAAATTGAAAAAAAAAAAATTCTATCTCAAGACGGATTAACGAACTCAGAAAATGATTCGATCAATTTGTACACTTTTGGTGTGAGGTTGTCAGTAGCGAAAATTACAGTTAAATATCGTCGAAATGAAACAACAGTGTCAGAATTTTCCGAAACCAACCAAAAAAAAAAAAAATAAAAATAAAAATAAAAAAACCGTGTCGAAAAATTTTTCATCTCGCGAGTCTTAACGGCGCGATGGATTTTTCTAAATTTCGCACGGTTGACTTGGGCCGATCCGCTCGGATCGCGGCATAATTGAAAAAGCACGGAACGCAAATAGGCGGGACGCGACGATTGACGCTGGCTGGTTGTGGAATGAGCGGCGAATCGTTTTGAATTTACATGTTCGCGCGGCGTGATCACGTTCGCGGCCGCGTTCTCTAGCCACGTAGCAGATTTTCCAGCGACGCGTTTACCGAAATGGAAGAGCAAGCAGCAGCAGCGGCAGCAGCAGCGTGCCGCTTGCACGGTCATTGCCGCGCAACGGGATTAATACGGGGAACGACGCGAGTAATTTTCACCGGGATTTACCAAACGTATGGCCGATCGAATATAAGCTTTTTAGAGCCGAGTCGCTCGCGTCGATGATTTTTATTTCCCACGCGTTTTCTTATCCTTTCCAATCCTCGACAATTTATTGTTCTCTGAATTGCTCGGAAGAAACAAACGATTTCGATACGAAAGAGGGTTGTAGAGAAGGAGTTCTGGGATTGAAAATTAAAGATTTTCATTTGCGATTTGTGTCGTGAAATTTTTTTTAGTATTTTTCTTCATTAACGCTAGAACTATAAAAGCGATCAAAAATTTTCTATGGAAATTTTATATACTTGTACGGTATATTTTTTTATATTTTTAAATACTCGGGTGATTTTCAATAAAATATATTGATAGAAGCTTGTGTTATTAATTGTTTCTTGCACCTTACACTTTAATTTTTTGGCTACGAATGTTACACTTTAGTTGTCAGTAGTAGTTCTAGTGTTGAGAATCAAAAATTGGCATTTAAAAAAGCGTAGATACGTCAGAAATCTATAAAATGTCACGAAATGAAGAACTTGTTTTCTTAGTTTTTATCCCGTAGAGCACAGTTGGATGAATTCTACATAGAGAATTATTTGAGATACTCGTGTACGTATTTGGACGAGTGTGATAATTGAAACAGAAAAAAAAAGTAATGTATCTGAAGATTGCGGAAAATAAATAGTGAAATGATTTTCCTCTACTTGACGACTTATAACATCATCTAGCAAATTTTATCGAACAGGTTTCGGATTGTATCGCTCGTTTTGTCCATACCGTAGCATTCTCCATTGTGGGTCAGATATTAAATCCTCTCAAGTGTTTCCAGAGGATCCATTACTTGATTACGTCTTGAACTTGTATCTAATTGAATTCTGAACTGCCTCGAAATTATAGAACATGGAGTAAATTTCGGTTTCGAAACCATTGCGCAATGCGT